AGCATAAATCCTACTTATTTCACCCTGATGTTGGAGGTTCTTTCAAACGTCTCCCCTTCCAAACGTACGTGGTTCACCGTATAGGTGCATATACGATTCATCGCTGGTAAGTGGTAATACGTCCGGTTAATGGTTATATCAGTTTCTTTTCGTACGCTCTTGCAGCTAGTTACTGTGGTATATTGAGGGTTTACTGTGAACAGAAAATATATTATATGATTGATTATATTCTTATTATAATACATCGCGCAACTATACCCGCCGGGAAACACAATTCTCATCCCTCATATTTTCTACGAGTTTGCACTTCGTTGCATAAATACACAATGGAGTAATACTGTGCTCATCATTGGAAATTTGTACATAAAATTCTTCCATTACTCAACTGTGCTTTTCGGGTTCAAAGTTGTTGGTAGCTCTTGCTGTTCTGTCTGTAAAATACAAACTATAAACAATATTGTTTTATACATTTATTGCGTAAAATATTCATTTTTGAATTTTGATTGTTATTCACTTTCCATTTTCCATGTATAAATTCATAATAATTCGACATTCAGTTTTAAATCAATACTTGTCAGTTGTCAATAAATAAATTAATAATCATACATAAATAGTTGTCAATTTATTGTACCTACAATTGTCACGTTAATATTTCCCATGAAACTGTTCAAATCAAACTTCAGTCATCACTTATAGTTATTAAAGTTCGTTTTGTTGATGAGTGATAATAGCTGATTACTGATAAGTGACATTAGTGACTAATAAATATTAATTCAATCAGCACGTATTATTGTGATAATATTGATATAGATTTGCGATTTTAATATACGTAATTTCAACTTTTGCACGAATTAGAAAAAACCTATACTTAACAAAGTTAGGTATTTTACTTTTATAGTTTAAAGCAATTCAAATTATTTTCAACAATGCTCAAGTAGGTATAACTTATGCAAATCGATAATCCTATAACACTACAATATCATACGTCTATATAAAACGCAGTGTGTGTGATTTGAAATTTAGAACAACCAATATTTTTTAAACGYTGCATTTAAAAGAGGCACCTACTTCACAGGACTATCATATAATATAGGGTTGAAATTGATTGCATAAAATAAATTATTTTAAACATTTATTTTATATTTTGTCTAAACAACTCAAATAATTGTTTCAAAAATCTGCGAAGTATACATTTAACGGAGTTTAATAAGTGTAAGTCTACGGGTCTTTAATTCATCACGATCTATGCCGTGCATATCATAATATAACATAGTATAATGTTATGATATTGAATCTATGAACACCATCTTATGATAATATATTATGTAGGTATAATACTAAGCGTGCATGTCACACTTTAAATTCTCATCACATTAATCAAACCCACGAGTATATAAGACCTTTTTTTAAATCCCGAAGTCAACGTCAGACGATCCCCATTTTAAAATTATTTTAATGAAATTCTCTCGGACTCTTCAATCTTTATATTGTGAAATTTGTTGATATATTTGATAGAAAACTGCATTTCTGGTTCAATACATTTAAATGAAAAATATTTCGAATTCAAGAAAGATAATAGAATGGAAAGTAATTCAATCTTTTTAATGTTGGTATTTAATATATATAACGCTATACGTTGACTTGATTTATATTAATACAAGTTTCTAAAACTAATGGTTTTTTTTTATTTTTACCACCATTATTTATAACAGCTTTATCTACAATCTGGCTGAATTTTTACATTTACATTACACGACGTCAACGTTCACAGCTTAAATGTCAATAAATGAAAACCAAATTTTATAACGTAGGTATAAAAAAAAGGTCACGTTAAAATATTTCAAACCTGGCATGGAGTTTCTGTATCATCATAATCAATCATATAAAAGCAAAATAATAATAATATATCAAAGCATTATATTATTTGTTTATGACTTTATATGTGAAACAGTAAGTGACATAACACACGAATAGTGTGTATACATGATATCCGAGGGTAATCTATGTACGATAATATTATGTTTTACACATATTATATTATATGCGATGCGATGCTTTGAAGTGTGTTTATCCAAATAGGTTTTGCGTTCAAATTGAATTTACTAACGCTCGTTGTTTGCAATAAAAACAAAAAAATGTCATTATGAAAGACGTGCGACGTGCCTATCTGTAATAACAAACAGTATAGGTACCGTACGTATGTAGGTAGGATGGTTGAAAACGACTGTAACGTGATACTTATATCATGTAGTTTGCGAGCTTTTAAAGTTTTGGACGGGATAATAATAATTTATAAGAAGCACGCTGTGCGTATTCAAAGGATATAGCATGCGGTATCGTTTGTCATGATATAATACCATCGTTATTTTAATTTGTCAAATGGATTTCGTGTTATTGTAGGTATAGCTGCATACATTATAATAATATTGCAGTGTAGGTATATCTTCGAATGTACGTAATATAATAATATATCATAATAATATTATAGACTCGAGTCTGCGATTATTGTGAAATAAAACTGCTGCCACAACAACAACAACAACAATAACAATTATAGTCATAGTAATAGTGATGGTCACACGTTGAACGACAGACGCGCACCCACGTCATGTCTCGAGACTAGGATCACGTGGAAACAGTATACGACCGTCCCCGAAGGAAACGAAATTTAAAACCTCCAACCGTCTATATAATATATATTTATCGTATGTACAAGAGTAATGATGTATAGACCCACTATACGGGGTGGAGAGTACAGTGGCTGAACAACAACCTCGTGCATATTTGTTTCGTTTTACGTGCTCGTGCGGGACACGCGGTTGTATATAATATATATATATATAGGAGGTGAGTGAGTGGAGCAAAGTTTTAGTAAAAAACTTTATTTTCCGGAATTTCTACGAAATATTATTATTATTATTATTAAAGTTTCTACCACGCACACTCTTGTATAAAACTCACACTGACATACTGACATAACACACATAAAYAGCGCGTGTGTGCGGTATGGGGTGGCGGTGATGGTGAAGGCGGAAGTGGCGAMRGAAAAACGTGTACCAAAAAGCCTGCGTGTATAAAAGTCTCCGTAATAGAAGATTTTCCACGTGACGAGACGACGTATTACATAACAACCAGCAATCTGTTTCTCTGTACAGTGGCTGCGACGACGACGATTATGAATATGTTACGCCAGCCGCAATAAATCAATCTTAATTATTGTGTTCTGAGACTTTTTACGTCTCGGCAATCCCGAGCGTACGTATTATTATTATTATTATTATTATTACAAAAGGTACCTTAGAGAGCGGCTCTTGTGCACGGCGTTTTCTAATTAACCGGAGCCTTTGCTCCTCCACATCCGCACACGATGAAGCTCGGACACGTAATTGGTCAATGTGCAGCGCTCGCGGATCATAGCGGCGCGAGGCGGTCTGTTATAATAGTATAACCTTCGTACGTATTACGTGTCGCCTTTGTTCAGGGACAAAGGATTGCTTGTAAAAATAAGTGCGTTTAATATTATATATATATATATATCAAGAGGCTCCAGTCTGCCGCCCCGGTGGCGAGCCTTTTGATATATTGCGCAGAGCGCATATAATGCGAGTAAACGGGCAAACGAGAAATTACTTAAGTATAATATTATTCTTTTTTCTCAGCCACCGTCGTTTATTCTCGACGACGGCTTTTCGCTTTGGTAGACGCATTTACCGTATATAGTTACGCCGAACAAATGACGTATTTCACGATCGAATTCATATTATTATATTATAATATAGGTACACACGACGAARAATTATTATACGAAAAATTCCGGGGAATTTAATTATTATTTAAATAGCAGAAAACGTATAACACGTACCACGTGGGCGCAGGTTTAATAATATTATATACCTATACCTACCTTAGTTGAATGCTTAGAACTACAATATAGGCGTAGACATTATTAATCGATAGCCCAGCCGTAACAACAAACAACATTTTAATTTAAAAAAAAAAAAACTTATTATCTATACAGTTAAACGTCTTGTATTATACGGTAATTTAAAATCACACAGTATTGGCCTTGTCTAAAATGTATCGCATGAAAATTTAATTTAAAGTTTACGATATTTTTGGTCTAAAAATGACCGATTTCGTTTATTTATAATATGTAAGTAATAATATTGTAGCAAGTTTATACACCTGGCGTCACGAATTGTGAGTGCGTGAAAAATATAATGAAGTGATAGTTTGTTAGTGTTTTACATTAGCCATTATTACCCATACTATAGCTAACACCAAAATATCATGATCCAGATGTCAAACTTTAATTTTATTTAGTCTGTATATTTTGACAATATGTTGATCATACAGATTTTTATCTACTTTTTCAGACATGAAATCACCAATTAATATTTTACGCGATGCAATAGTATGTAAAATAATTTTCTAGTTAATAGGTTTTTCCGAACAAGAAGATAATACGGATTCAGTATTAGATTTCCAAAATTAAAATTAAAATTAGGGAATTATACTACTCCAATCTTCATATAATATGACATTAAAACATATCCTTATGATGCGATTTAAAATACTCTTTCAACTCGAAAAACTTCTACACACGCATAAAAAAATATGAATTCACGCTGTTGTGGTGAAATCAACAATGATTTTCCTTCTACTCACCGAACTTACAAGCTACTATAAATTGTGGTAATTAGTTTTATATTACTCTGTGGTGTAGCAAGTCAAGATTATATAATTGYCYGTCTGGGGTTTTGTATTAGATATAAACATATAATTTTTTTAAACAGGTATAAGAAAATAATTGTGTTTACCTAAATACTTATAGTAACTATATGATTGCAACTAAACCAAAATAATACAATAATTTATTATTATTATCAACAAAAATTTACCCTTGGCGACATAGGCCGYTGGGTTATAATTTATTATTACAATCGTTTCAAATACCTTTATTTTTAAATTTTAATTCTAAAATACTTTTTGTTTCTCAGTTATGCCTWACGTCCAATGTGAGCACAGCTGACTTCAATATGGGCTACAGTATCACTGGTTCTTTGGAGTGTGGATCCACGAAAAATAACAGCTTTCAAACAACACATTTTGCAGTTATTCGGAGAAGAGACTTTGATAYAAATCGGCCGTAGCAATAAAAAATAACTTGAAAAAAAAGGATTGTTCCGACCAATAGACGCACAYCATAGACTATTCGCTGAATTATATGTATTTAATTCTAAACAATTACAAATATAATATTATAATATGTTAAGWGGAGCGCACTGTTTGTTTTCAATCTMTGGCTCATACTTAAAATAGACAAAACAAATTTACACAGAATCTTTTTTTTTAATGTATTTAAGTAATCTTAAAGTTAAATYATCTATTACCAAAACAATAGAGGACAATATTTTAGAGGGCGTGAGATATYGATGCGTCTAAATATTTTATCAATACCATTTGAACATCATTTAAATTTACAAAAAAATATTTTTTATTTTGTAAATCGAGTAAAATATCCAAAATAATATCATATAAAACCGATATGTCACACCTTCAAAAATATTATTCTTTATAATTTGTATGATATGTGATTTTACTCTAAGATAGCAAAAAAAAAAATTGATTTTAGGCGAAAGTCTATATCTATGTTACGCATCTGTCATACGGGTCTGCGAAGGAAAAAACAAACATTGCGTTGACATTTCCTTAAAATCATACAATAGGCATAATGAATCTTCTATGGAAGAGGTGAAGGCTGTCCGTGTTCAAATTTTCTGAATCATACGAGATAATATTATTTTCGTAGCAAAATCATGACTTCTGTCATTATAATTATAATATTATATAGGCACCTATTGGTATGACAATATTTTTTGTAGATAACGACTGCAGGATTCATGTTCACTGCCAATTTTTTTATGTATTTTTTTTTTAAATTATTACGAATACATCTTATAAATATAATAATCATATACCAATATAATATTTATTAAAATCATTACAATCAGTTAAATACGTAGCATGGTTAATATTGTAATCACATCGAATAAAATATTACACTAAATAGTAAATATAGGTATGCACATTTATTTTGTTTTTCGTGTAGTATAGAGCTACACATTGAATACGAGGATTAAACTATAAATTCGATTACTCCGATAAAGTGATTTGAAATAATTCAATCCTCATATTAGGTTGTTAAACGTAATGAATTAAATAAATAATAAAATAGTGTTATACACTAAAGCTAGCTGTTAGTTATAATATTATGAGTATACGTCAAATACTATGGTCAAATTAATTTTTGCTATAAGAAATGAGTATAACATGATATACGAAGTAGTTCAAAATATGTCGTAGGTAATAATATCATGATGTGCTATACCTCGGCTTATTCCAAAATTAGTATTTTTCTATTGTTATTAATAAAAATAAAATACCTTAAATAGCTTATTAAATAATATTATTTTGGTTGATATAAATCGACACGATAATTGGATAATACCTATATAATCTTATCAAATACATGTTTTATAAAATGCATACTGAATCGAACAATTTTGTAAAATATTGTATAATAATATTCAATGATTGAAACCATAATGTAATTATTATACGGTTTAAATGGCCTGTGAAATGTCATATTATATGTTAATTTTTAATTACGATATAGGTGTATAAAGATAACGTATTTTAAGAGTAGAGTAAGAAGTATACTATATCTATATATAAGTATAATTATAAGTTTAATATTGTTTTTTAGTAGACATTTTCATTTTAGTTGATTAATACGTAAATATAAATATTAACAAGTGTGGTTTTTTTTTTCGTTACTATTTTTTCAATACTCAGAAGTGAAATTGTATTCATTTATTTTTTAAAATAACAGAAACAGCCTTTAGTTTTTCTCCACATATTAAACACTGTAAATTCGCCACTATAGATCCATTTCCAGTGGACGTGGCGAGTTACATTAAAGCAGAGTGAAGTTTCAGGGAAAAGTTTAAAAAAATGCAAAACATAAAACTTTCTGTTTCAGATTTTCAGTTAAAGTTTTAAGAATTCGCATGAGCTATAATGTAAATTTCTGGAATTTTATATACTTTTCATTGCAATCCCAACGATAATCCGTACGTGAGCTGGTTTTATCACTCAAACGTGATTTAGATATATCTGATCTGATATGTATGCGCTCAAATGTCTTGGATTTCTTAAAAGTTTAAAAACTAATTTTATTAATGTTATTTCCATTTTGTGCAATAAAAACTGTTAGCATCGGTATTACAAGAATAAAAAATACCTAATTAATAACCATGGTTTAAGAGTTATAAGTCACGAAATGATGATTTTTTAATAAAAATTAATCTTAAGTTGAATACTATTATACTTATTGTTCATAATTGATTTGTAAAAAAAAAAAAAATAGTTCTTATAATAAACATTAATCGGTGTTTTACGGCCATAAATCAGATAACCCGTCCATAAACATTTTGATGTCACTATATCCAATAAACATCTAATTTTATTATAATATATTTAAGATATTATTTTAAATGTTCTGATGTTTTTAATATTTTGCCTACTKTTTTAGTTAAATCTTTGTATCCTAAAAATTAGATTAATGATGTATACACAATCAATAAAGTATTTTGATAAAAAATTATGAAGTTGAATAGAGCTGTATAATAGAAATTAATGTTTAAGGTTGTAAAATATGCTTTCATAGAACTGTTTATTTGTGACTTAAGCTTAGGCATATAAATTTATGTATTAATTGTGTATTTGCTTAAATTTTGACATACATTTGTGATATTGAAAACAACGTAAATAAACGTTTATCAATTTGCTATACTTGTGTTTTTGTTATAATTTCTTTATATTATTATAGCTAAAATATTATTCTATTAGAATCGATTATTCCTATTAAACTTCATTAAATTGAAGTTTTCATCATTTATAGATTCATAGTATCTACCTTACCTATAACTTAAGTTAGATAAATTAAATGTATAAAAATCAATTTTAATTTAATATTTTTTTTCTTTTTAAAGTTTTTATAATTACATTTTAGTATAAAATCATAATTTTAAATAATTTATAACATAATTTTGAGTGTTTGAAATCAAATATAATATATTGTGTGAAACATATATTACATAATGTTTAAAATAAATAAATTATACAATCAGTTATATATATTACAATGACATGAGTGCAGTTCAAGATTTCAAATTGCATAACTAGTAGATACTAATGTTAAAAAATTAAAAATAATCCAAGACAAATATTTTCGTAACATTTTAAGAACAAAAACTGTAATCAGACTTGATCTACTTCTAACAAGATTTGGGACATTTGTTGGATATTCTTAGTTCTACCAAATCGTATTTCAAACGCAATAATTTATCATTCCTTTCAAATATAAAGACGGAACCTGTCTCAGTAGCCAACCTAACTTTCAATATACACTTTTATTAAGTTTATTAAAGTGGTTGAAGTTGAACCAACTCTATGGGTAAATAAAAAAAATGACTGAGTGTCAATGTCAGAGTAGATAATTTACAAATTGCAGTTCGAATAATTTTTAGTCTGGTTTATATCTTATTCATAAAATACGATTGAAACAGTGAATTGTGTTAATAAGTTGTTTCATATTTATCTTTAAACTTTTTATAAAAATATAAAGAAAAATTAATTCATAATTTTTTGTATCCTCTTAAGATATTTTTAAAAACAAACAACTATAACTTAGCTTAGGCATTTCAAATAGTTAATAATATTTTAATTTGTAACGTACTTATTTATACCTTATACCAATTCGTTATTAACATTATAATAGTATTATTGTTTAATTTTCTATAAAAGTGATATTATCAAGGCTACATAAACTAATAAACGTGCACTATTTATTTATCAATCTATAAAACTATTTCGGTAGGTAGTATTAGGTACACTGCAATTTTGGTGTTTGTAARTGAAAGCACGCGTGTCAAACACAATAACCAGCTAATTCCGCCGAGCAGACATTTGAATATGTACGTGTTCATATATGAGATAAGATAATTATTTTAAGGGCTAATAAAGGCTTGTACAACTATAATACTATTACACAGTCGGGCAGTACTCTCCCATATTATTATGTTGTAAGTATTGATATTTTTATTCGATTTGAATCGATTTTTCACAAAATATTTTAATCCAATATCGAATGCGTTCAATACAGGTAAGGTACCTATAATACGCATTATTATGTGTCAGAAAATTTAGTATTTATTGTAGTGTTATGCACAGACGAATTCTTGGCGGTGATCCATTTAACAACATAATAATAATAATAATAATAATAATTTAATCCGCCGTCCGGGGCTGCTCGTATTGACACTTGTGAAAGGGAACACACTACGTGTACATTTTTGCATACGCATATATATAATATTTTGAACATGCTACCTCGGTACGCACGCCTATTTAATATATATAGGTACGGACTGTTTACACCTATTTACACGGATATTCGGTGAATAAAGATGCCAGCCAGAAAGGAAAAAAACGTGTACATTTTCTATAACCTGTCGGCAGGGACACAGAAAAATAATATATATTATTGCTGTACAATCTACGAGGCCTGAGCGGGGTTGTGATATAGGACGTACCAATCACGTACGCACAAAGGCGTTTCGCATAAAATATCGTTAACTCGTTCCCTCAAAACGAACGCATATTATATATTTTTTATTTGGCTTAGCATTACTTATTATAATATACGACTCGAACCGTTTCGCAGTCACGTACCCGCGCATACGTACCTATACCTATTTACCTATACACACACACACAACAATAATTCACATAATTATTAATACGTGTGTTGGTGCGCCGTTGCCACGCGGGGTTGGCGTTGAATTATGCAACACACATTGATACAGGAAATTAGTATTGAATGCAAAATATGAGGTTTCTCGTTTGCCACGAAAATTGGCAACTGGCATACAGTGTGTATAATAATATTATAATATATACAATGTACATGTTATACATTTAAAAGATGATGAATTCACAAGACAGCACAATTTTTGACAATTCAATGTATTATTATCATTGTAGATGGATGGTTACATTTTAACTTAGCTACACCATAATTATTACTAGGGCTGGGATTTTAATGCTCTACAAATACCACCAAAAAATTGCTCTTAAAAAAATTAATTGGAATAATAGAACGGTGTTTACGACGATAAAACTCGTACTGACGATCATCGGACGTCGATTTTACCGATTTAAGATTATTTAACAGAAAATGCGGGCAGTACAGATTACTAAAACCTTGTCTGATAATATAATACAAATTACGAGTGCCTACCTACTTATAATCTGTTATATTTATATAAAAAACCATGTTGATGTGAAAATTTTAAAATAAAATTTCAAATTCATATTCATATTTGGTTTCAAAAACTCCAAAAACTCTAAAATGCCCTAAAAAATTAAGAAAATGACCTAAAAACTA